ATGCTGAAAGACAGCTGGGTCAAAGATAAGATTAAGAAGGAAATTATGAAGTTTTTAGAATAGAATGATAATGAAGACATGAATTATCAGAACCTCTGGATACTGCAAAGGCAGTCCTAAGAGGGAAATTTATAGCGCTGCAAGCCTTCCTTAAGAGAACAGAAAGAGAGGAAGTCAACACCTTAATGGGACATCTCATGCAACTGGAAAAGGAAGAACATTCCAACCCCAAACCCAGCAGAAGAAAAGTAAAAACCAAAATTAGAGTTGAATTAAATGAAATCAAAAACAAAAGAATTATTCAAAAGATCGACGAATCAAAAAGTAGGTTTTGGCTCGGCACCTATGGCTCAAGCGGCTAAGGCGCCAGCCACATACACCTAAGGTGGCGGGTTCGAATCCTCAGCCCGGGCCCCCAAACAACAATGACGGCTGCAACCAAAAAATGGCCAGGCGTTGTGGCGGGCGCCTGTGGTCCCAGCTACTTGGGAGGCTGAGGCAGGAGACTCGCTTGAGCCCAGGAGTTGGAGGTTGCCATGAGCGTGATGCCACGGCACTCTACCCAGGGGGACAGCTTGAGGCTCCGTCTCAAAAAAAAAAAAAAAAAAAGTTGGTTTTTTGAAAAGTTTAACAAAATTGACAAACCCTTGGCTAGCCTAAACAGAAATAGAAAATTAAAATCCCTAATTTCATCAATCAGAAATGACAAAGGTGAAATAACAACAGATGCCTCAGAAATTCAAAAAATTCTTAATGAATACTACAAAAAACTCTACTTTCAGAAATATAAAAATCTGAAAGCAACTGACCAATACTTGGAAGCATGCCACCTTCCTAGACTTACCCAGAAAGAATTAGAAATGTGGAACAGACCTATATCAAGTACTGAAATAGAATCGACTATACAGAATTGCCCAAAATAGGAAGAGTCCAGAAGCAGATGGATTCAAATCAGAATTCTACCAAACCTTTCAAGAGGAACTAGTACCTATATTACTTAACCTTTTCCAAATTATCAAGAAAGGAATACTTCCCAACACATTCTATGAAGCAAATATCACTCTGATCCCCAAAACAGGAAAAGACCCAACAAGAAAAGAAAATTATAGACCAATATCTTTAATGTATGTAGATGCAAAAATATTCAATAAGATCCTAGCAAACAGAATCCAGCATCACATCAAACAAATTATACACCATGACCAAGTGGGCTTTATCCCAGGGTCTCAAGGATGGTTCAATATATGTAAATATATAAATATAATATGTCACATAAACAAAATAAAAAACAAAGACCATATGATTCTCTCAATCAATGCAGAAAAAGCTTTTGATAATATCCAGTATCCTTTCATGATCAGAACACTTAAAAAAATTGGTATAGATGGGACATTTCTTAAACTGATAGAGGCCATCTACCGCAAACCCACAGCCAATATCACATTGAATAGAGTTAAATTGAAATCATTTCCTCTCAGATCAGGAACCAGGAAAGGTTGCCCATTGTCTCCACTGCTTTTTAACCGTGTAATGGAAGTCTTAGCCATGGCAATCAGGCAAGAAAAAATGATCAAGGGTATCCAAATAGGAACAGAGGAGCTGAAACTTTCACTCTTCGCAGATGATATGATTCTATATCTGGAAAACCTCAGGGATCCAACTACAAAACTCTTATAAGCAATCAAGGAATATAGCAGACATCTCAGGTTACAAAATCAATACTCACAAATCTGTAGCCTTTATATATACCAACAATAGTCAAGCTGAAAAAACAGTCAAGGACTCTATTCCTCTTACAGTAATGTCAAAAAAAGATGAAATATTTGGGAGTTTACCTAACAAAGAACATGAAAGATCGCTATAAAGAGAACTATGAAACTCTGAGAAAAGAAATAGCTGAAGATGTTAACAAATGGAAAAACATACCATGCTCATGGCTGGGAAGAATCAACATTGTTAAACTGTCCCTACTACCCAAAGCAATATACAATTTTAATGCTATCCCTATTAAAGCACCACTGTTTTGCTTTAAAGATCTTGAAAAAAATAATACTTCGTTTTAAATGGAATCAGAAAAAACCTCAATTACCCAATACCTTACTCAGAAATAAAAACAAATCAGGAGGAATTATGCTACCAGACCTCAGACTATTGTATAAATTGATAGCGATCAAAACAGCATGGTTCTGGCACAAAAACAGAATGGTAGACTTGTGGAACAGAATAGAGAACCAAGAGATGAACCCAGCTACTTACCGTCATTTGATCTTCAATAAGCCAATCAAGAACATTCAGTGGGGAAAAGACTCCCTATATAACAAATGGTGCTAGGTGAACTGGCTAGCAACCTGTAGAAGACTGAAACTAGACCCACACCTTTCACCATTAAGAAAGACAGATGCTCACTGGAGAAAAGATTTAAACTTAAGACATGAAACTATGAAAATACTAGAAGAGAGTGCAGGGAAAACACTTGAAGAAATCAGCCTGGGAGAATACTTTATGAGGAGGACCTCCCCAGGCAATTGAAGCAACAACAAAAATACATTACTGGGATCTGATCAAACTAAAAAGCTTCTACACAGCCAACAACACAGTATTTAATGCAAGCAGACAGTCCTCAGAATGGGAGAAGATATTGCAGGTTATGCCTCCAACAAAGGTTTAATAACCAGAATCCACAGAGAACTCAAATATATTAGCAAGAAAAGAACAAGTAATCCCATCTCAAGATGGGCAAGGGACTTGAAGAGAAACTTCTCTGAAGAAGACAGGTGCACGGCCTACAGACATCCATAATCAACAGAGAAATGCAAATCAAAACCACTTTGAGATATCACCTAACTCCAGTAAGATTAGCCCACATCACAAAGTCCCAAAACCATAGACATTGGCATGGATGTGGAGAAAAGGGAACACTTCTGCAGTGCTGGTGCGAATGCAAACTAACACGTTCCTTTTGGAAGGATATTTGGAGATCACTTAGGGATCTAAAAATAGACCTGCCATTCAATCCTTCAATTCCTCTACTAAGTATATATCCAGAAAGCCAAAAATCACTTTATAACAAAGATATTTGCAACAGAATGTTTATTGCAGCCCAATTCATAATTGCTAAGTCATGGAAGAAGCCCAAGTGCCCATCGACCCATGAATGGATTAATAAATTGTGGTATATGTACACCATGGAATTTTATGCAGCCTTTAAAAAGATGGAGACTTTACTTCTTTTATGTTTACATGGATGGAGCTGGAACATATTCTTCTTAGCAAAGTATCTCAAGAATGGAACAAAAAGTATCCAATGTACTCAGCCCTCCTACAAAACCAATTTATAAGCACCCACACTTCCATATGAATGCTATAACCCAACTATAGCCCAAGATGAAGGGGAAGAGGTGGGGGGAGGGAAAGATGGATGCAGGGAGGGTAATTGGTGGGACCACACCTATGGTGCATTTTACAAGGGTCCATATTAAAACTACTAAGTATAGAATATAAATGTCTTAACACAATAACTAAGAAAATTCAGTGAAAGCTATGTTAACCAGTTTCATGAAAGTATTTCAAATTGTATATAAAACCAGCACATTATACCCCATAATTGCATTAATGTACACAGGTATTTTAAAAATAGTATTTGCGGGAAAAAGGGACCATGTCTCCAACTTATTAACACTCCATGAAAAAATTATCACATACATATGTATATACATATATGTAGAAAGAATGACAGGAAATATTGCAAAATGTTAATGAGATAGGAAATGCTACAAACTGTTAACATTTGGTGAATGTGGAAGAAGGTAAGTATGTCACCTCCCTTATTCTAAATCAGTATTTAACTGGGGCTGTTCAACAATATCCCACCTAGGACCCACTCAGAGGTTCTTAGAGTACATCTGGATCTAAGAAACATTAATTTGGGGAAGATAACATTTTGTAAAAGCTTTCCCAGGTGGATAAAATGCACCCAACCCCTAAGACTGGGAACTATCACTCTACCACTCATCTTCGATTAAAATCTGAGAACGTTGATGACTTTTTGCCACTCATCAGTGTAGATCAGGTGTCCTCCAAATACAGCCTGTGGGCCACATGTGGCCTTGCCTAGGACATTTATCCAGCCCACTGGGTATTTTTGCCGCCGCTGCCTGTCCTGCTTAGCAGCCAACTCTTCCTGGGGTCCGCAGTCTGGCGTTCCAACAGTCTGAGGGACAGTGAACTAGCCCCCTGTTTAAAAAGTTTGAGGACCCCGAGGGGATTTGCTATCAACTCAAGCCTATATGACTAGAAATAGCACATCACATTGGAAAGAACACATCCTGGGGAGTCAGACCTGCGTTCCGACCTTAATTCTGACACGTAACCCCCTTGAGCCTCTGTTGACTCCTCCATATAATAATAGAGGAGGAGATCTCTAATTCACAGGTTACCATGAGTATCAGAGGTGAAAGCATTTGTAAAACATTAACATATAGTTAAGTACTTGTGAATATTAATTCATTCTCCCCAAGTAAAGGTATTCTATTTCTATTGGAGAGGCAGGTAGAGACAAATATGATTATGATTCTCGAAATGGGGTAGACAGAAAGAAAGCAATTTAATTACATTATACTGATTAGTGAGATGAAAAGGTAGATTTGAGAGTCCCAATGGAAAGGCTGACAATATGTAAACAGAGATCATAAAAATCAATTTTGTAAATCTCACCCTTAACACTTTTCAGTCTTCACTAATATAGAGTATACTGGACAGTAGTAGTATGCAGTATTTCTGATTTCCTAAATACAAATCAAACTGGGGTGCTCTATTATTAGTAAAAATAATCACTATGACATAAATCATTACTTTTAAAATACAGCAAATAAATCAAAATAATGACATGCTTACGGATATTCAAATTTTTCTTTAAAAAATCATGAGCTATATAAATTGGAGAAGGAAATGATACATAGTACTCATTTCTGAGAACAATACTACAACCCCATAATACTTACCAACATGTGAAGGCCAAACAGTTATATGAGGATGGGAATGATACCAGCCCACAACTCTCATAGAGCGACCTGTTAGTTCAGCCAACCTGTGTGTCTGTCAAAGAATTTTTAAAACAAAAGTTTTGGTGCTGATAAGGGGTCATGTAACACAATAACTAAGAAAAAGACAGTATGAGAAATTCTGATCATCAACCTTACTTCATTGTCATTAAATTATGCATTGTCATTAAATTATGATAAGTTGATTTTAAACTTCAGGATGCTTTATGACCCCATGATAATATTAATGTACACTGCTATGATTTAATTTTAAAAAGCCTAAAAAAAAAGAATTTCCCATACTGCCCATTTAAAGCCAATTTTTAAAAAATGCAATACACATGGTTTCCATTATGGTATAGTTACATCTTAACAGAATTTAGCTAATGTTTGATCACTCAAATCCTTACTAATATGCCATCTAAAAATAAGCTTATCCAAATCTTCAGACGCTGTCACTTTCAAGACTGCTATCATGTAAAATGCTAATTATCCTTGCAAATTATTTACATTAAAACATAATAAACCTTTTTACACAACTAAGTCTGAAAAATAATGCTTTTAAAATATATATTGAGGTGGGATCATGCCTATGGTTCATCCTGTAAGGGTACATGTGAATCTCTCTAAATGTAGAATATAAATGTCTTAACATAATAACTAAAAAAAAGACATGAAGGCTATGTTAACCCAGTTGGATGAAAGTATTTTGAATTGTATACAGAAACAGTACACTGTATCCCATAAAAAATAAAAAAATAAATATATATTGAAATTTTCAAATACCAAGAGAAGTTACTTAATTTCTCTTAGCCCATTTCCTTAGCTTCAGACCGGGGAATAAAGCTTTGCAGTGCAGTGAAGAGTAAGTGAGGTAATCCATGCAAGTTGCTTAGTACAGTTCCTGGCACCTAGCAAGTACTTCACAAATAATAACTGTGGCTAGAGTTTGCAGGGCAGGGGACGAGAGAGAAGAGCTGTAGGAGGTTCCTCTCCAGTACCCAGCAGACCACTGATAAGCACAAGCACTTGAGGGAACTACCCAAGGCCAGGGAAAGGACCCCCCCCCCCAAGCTCCCTCTGAAGAAAATGAAAGGTAATTCTCTAGCAGGGCAGGAACTGGAGTTGTCCCCACATGCCAAGATGGAGAACCTCATCATTCACTCACAAGGTATCTGCCAGGGCATTAAAAGGGTATTGCCCAGTAGTGTAGGAAAATTAATCCTACACTTAAGAGCCACTCTGCTCCCCAGCAGCACATCTTCAAAGCGAGATTCAAAGGATCAAGCTGTTTCCAAGTAACTTAGCAGCACCCCACACCTCAGTACATGGATACGTCAAAGAAAACAGAAATAAATGCCCAGCAGTCAAGAAAAGGCACAATGTCTGACATCTCATCAAAAACTCCCTGGGATACACAGAAGCAGGAAAATGCAACCCCTTATAAGGAGAGAAATCAATCAGTGAAAGGTCATCCAAATTGGTTACATCTTACATAATTGCAGTGTAATATGGAAACCAGGAAACTGACATTGGTGCAATGTGTGTAGTTCTGTGCTGTTTTTGTCACATGGGTAGATACATGCAAGTACTACAGCAGTTAGTTTTTTTTTTTTTTTTGCAACTTCCCATGAATCTATAATTATTTCAAAATAAAGAGTTAAAAAAAAAACAAGATGGAAAAGGTAACACACTTTACCTTTAAAAAGAGGTTTATAAAAATATAAAAGCAAAAATAAGTACCACATGTACTCAGTATTAAATTGGAACTAGCAGATTAACAACCACTTTCTCTCACATAAGAGAAAAACTCAGTGAAATTCAGGGAGAAGGGAGAGAAGGAGTGGGGTAAATTCCTACCCAATAGGTACCTTGCACAGGTATATGGCACACTTCCTAGGTGAAGGACACAACTACAATTTGGACTCTTAGAAAAGCTAACTATGCAACCTAATCATATGTATCCCCACATTAATCTAAAATCTAAAAAATGTAAAAGCAACAACTTGCGGGAAGTGCCTGTGACTCAAAAGGGTAGGGCGCCGGCCCCATATGCCAGAGGTGGTGGGTTCAAATCCAGCCCCAGCCAAAAAAAAAAAAAGAAGCAATAACTTGCTTGGGAAACACACACACACCATGAGTAAACTGAGAAAAATCACTATCCTTTCCACAAAAAGGTTAATTTTCTTAATATTTAGAGTGCCTATAAGTTATTAAGGAAAAAGATTCACAAATCAATAGAAAAACAGGAAAAGGAAGCAAGCAGATACTTGAGAGGAAAACACAAGTGACTCATAAAAATGAAAAACTGATCAAATTTACTCATAATAAGAAAAATGAGGATTAAAATTGAAAGAAACTGGCTGGGCATGGTGGCTAACACCTGTAATCTTAGCACTCTTGGAGGCCAAGATGGGCGGAACTCTTGAGCTCAGGAGTTGGATACTAGCCTGAGCAAGAGTGAGAGCTGGTTTCTACTAAAAATATAAGTTAGGCAGGTACCGTAGCAGGCACCTGTAGTTCAGCTACTCAGGAGGGTGAAGCAGGAAGATCACTTGAGCCCAGGAGTTTGAGGTTGCTGTGAGCATTGATGATGGTACAGCATTCTACCCAGGGAGAAAAAGTCAGACTCTGTCTCAGAAAAAAAAAATCAAACCTGCAAGAAATAAGATACAATTTCTAGCTGATCAGATTGGTAACAATCCAAAACTGTGCCAGTGCATGTTTGTTAGGGTATAGGGCACAGGCACTCTTGTGTATTGCTAGAGAGTAAAGTGGCAAAACATCTATAGTGACAAGTACATGTAACTTTTGTTCTAGCAATTTCCACTTTAGCAATTGATCCTATGGATAAACACATACCCATAATACATCCTATGGATAAACACATAAGCATGTGCAGGGTTATTCACTGCAGCACTGTAAGACTAAAATATCATAAACAACCTTAACATCTGCATAAGGACGGGTGAAACATTCAAGGTACACACACTGATATGTGAAAAAAAGATGAATACTATATGTCATAAAGTATCACATGTACTACTTTTTAAAATGAAAAAAAATACGTATTTCTGTATGCACAGAACTTATCTGTAAGGATACATGAAAAACTGATAACCCTGGTTATGTCTGGATGGGACCCTGGAGGAATTAAGGCACAGGGTTGGAGAGAAATATTTTATGTTTCTTTTTATATTCTTTAAAGCTTATACTATACATGTATACTACCGATTTTTAAAAATTACTTCTTAGTTGCCTACAAGATTAATTTAATCCAAAAGAATAAATTACTAAAACCAGCAATGCAAATTTAACTTGCTATAGCTGAGGTATAGAGTCCAGATCACAAGCAAATGCCCCATTTAACAACTCTTTGGTTATATTTAATATGTTAATATTGCATTTAGTTCACAGCAATGCATTTTTTGAGGAAGTTTCTAAACAGAATCTCTCCAAAGGATAGAGACCAAGATAGTAAAATGCCTAAAAATTAAATCAGGGGTGTCCAAACCACAGTCCACGGGCCGCACGTGGCCAAGGATGACTATGTATACAGCCCAACACAAAATTGTAAATACACTTAAAATATTATGATTATTTCATGATTTTTTGTGGAACTCAGTTGTATGATTCTCAAGCATAAACTTCATAGGTGACAACATCAGATGTTACATGTGTTCATGATGAATTGCCAACATAGGGATTAGCAACAATATTTCAATCTACCATTGCCATGTTAGGCATTTAATGTTACTTAGAAGTCAGGAAAGGATTATTATTTGATTATTAAGGTACTTCCATACCTTGGCAGCACCTCACACATCACCCACCACACTTTAGAGTCAGCCCTCTGCCTTGTCCTAACTCTATCAGCAGCCAAGATGTGGACAGGCCCAACCTTGCTATTTTCCTGTCAATTTTTATTTTTATGTTTTTTTTGGAGATAGTCTCCAGCTGTTGCCCTGGGTAGAGTGCCATGGTGTCACAGCTCATAGCAACTTCAAACTCTTAGGCTTCAGCAATTCTCTTGCCTTAGCCTCCCAAGTAGCTGGGACTATAGGCGCCTGCCACAACGCCTGGCTATCTTGTCAATTAATTTTCATAATAAAAGTGAACATAGTCCCTTGTCTATTACTTTTTTAATACCAGCATGCCTTCTACAATGTATCAAAAGAAAACAGAACCCCCAAAAAGAAAAATTATGAAGGAAGATTGTTCAACAAACAGTGGACAGATGACTACTTTTTTGTCTAGGTAAATTGTGAAGCACTCTGCTTAATTTTTAAGGAATTTGTCCAAGTTATCAAAGACTATAATTTGAAAGTCATTACATGCCCAAATATGATGCATGTGAAGGATTGTGTCATAAGGATAAAATAACAGAAATGAAAAAAGTCTGTTTTCTTGACAATTTTTTCTAAAAGTCACAACTCAGATGGACTCCACTATAAAAGGTAGCTATGTGGCAGCATATTTAATACCAAAAAAATCAAAACCACTTAATGGTGATGAGTTTATAGCAATGTATAGAAACCATGGCAGATCTAATTTTCCCCCAAAAGGGTGTATTTCTAAAATCAGTTTGTCTAAATTGACTATAACCAAGCAAAATGAAGAAACTGGAAAATCTATCAAAAGGAGTTTGGAGAGCAAAGTTGCTAATTTAAAATTTTATGCTTTGGTGATAGATGACAGTGCTGGTGCCACAAATACAGCTCAACTTCCCATTTCTATTAGAGGTATTAATATGAATATAATGTCATTGAAGAAATGGCTTCTTTAGTGCCAATAAAAGACACAACTAAATCAAGAGATTTAAATGAAGCAGTAAAAAAAAAAGTTAAAATGATTTTGTTTGTCCATTGTCAAAATATCTGATAGAGTTACTGATGGTGCCCCGGCGATGGTAGGTAAAGAGAGAAACTTGTAAAATTAATAGACAATGATGCCATTGCTGCTCAAAACTCATGTTTGATGAAGTATCACTGCATAGTACATCCAGAAAATTTATGTACAGAATCTTTAAAAATGGATAACATAATGTACACTGTCACCAAGAATATCGTAAAGACCAAGGGATTGAATCATCACCAATTTCAGGAATTCCTTAAAAGTATTGATGATGACTATGGCAACATCATTTACTTTTCAGAAGTAAGATGGCTAAGTTGAGACCAAATGTTGTAAAAGATTTTATGATTTGCAACATGTTACCAAATAGTTTATGGTATCAAAAAATTTGTGGATCAGATAGATCTAAGATGGCGACTATAGAACTGGAAACCACCCCTATTCCTAATCCCCCACCTACAGAAAAGGAGAAAACAGAATCTAATCAGGAGGTTGCTAACCTAGAGCACTATATTAAACATCCTCTACAGAACAGATGGGCACTCTGGTTTTTTAAAAATGATAAAAGCAAAACTTGGCAAGCAAACCTTTGGCTGATCTCTAAATTTGATACTGTTTTAGACTTTTGAGCTCTGTACAACCATACCCAATTGTCCAGTAATTTAATGCCTGGCTGTGACTACTCACTTTTTAAGGATGGTATTGAGTCTATGAGGGAAGATTAGAAAAACAAATGGGGAGGACGATGGCTAATTACGTTGAACAAACAGCAGAGACGAAGTGACCTCGATTGCTTTTGGTTAAAGACACTGCTGTGCCTTACTGGAGAATCTTTCCATGACTACAGTGATGATGTATGTGGAGCTGTTGTTAATGTTAGAGCTAAAGGTGATAAGATAGCAATATGGACTACTCAATGTGAAAACAGAGAAGCTGTTACACATATAGGGAGGGTATATAAGGAAAGGTTAGGACTTCCTCCAAAGATAGTGATTGGTTATTAGTCCCATGCAGACACAGCTACTAAGAGCGGCTCCACCACTAAAAATAGGTTTGTTGTTTAAGATACACCTTCTGAGTATTCTCATAGCAGACTGCGTCAAGCAATCAAGATTTGGGAGCTGAACCAAAGCCTCTTCAAAAGCAAAGTGGGGCTCGGCGCCTATAGCTCAACCGGCTAAGGCGCCAGCCACGTACACCTAAGGTGGCAGGTTCGAATCCCCAGCCCGGACCTGCCAAACAACAATGACGGCTGCAACCAAAAAATAGCCGGGCGTTGTGGCGGGCGCCTGTGGTCCCAGCTACTTGGGAGGCAGAGGCAGGAGACTCGCTTGAGCCCAGGAGTTGGAGGTTGCTGTGAGCTGTAATGCCATGGCGCTCTACCCAGGGGGACAGCTTGAGGCTCTGTCTCAAAAAAAAAAAAAAAAAAGCAAAGTGGACTGCATTTAAATTTGATTTCCATCTAAATGTTGCTAAGATCTAAGAGAACTCTCATGCACCTTTGTCTTGTACTTCTGTGTTCATATATTTTTCTTAATTTTGGCTAGAGTGTCCACTATCCCAGTCAAAGAATTACAGTACACACTGTCTCCAGAATCCGTAAATATGTTCCTGGCCCACTCTGTAATAGTTTAGTAGATTTACCATTACAAACACATTATACCCATGTACAATATTCAAAAGACAATTTGCATTTCTATACAAGAAAAAAGTTCTGTTTATGTTCCACTGTATGCAGGAACATATTTTGCTGGTTTGAAAGAGTATGATTCATACAGTTTTCTAGCAATTTTGTTTCTTTTTACAGCAGTGTCTTTGCTGTACTTTTCCTGATGGTTGTGAGATTTTGTTTGTTTCCCTACTTGATAACATTAGTGATTCTGATTTCAGTTTTTCATTTGTTTTGCTTTTGCTTTTTTCCTCATATAACATTGGTGAAGGATCCAGGAATATAACACAAAGGTGGAATAAACATTAATTTTGTGCATTCTTTGGTAATTTTTTTATTTTTTGTAACTACCAAGCTCTGCTACAAATTTATGCATTTCATTCAAATCAGTGATCTATGTTTGCGTGATTTCCTAAACAAAATTGTGATTTAAAAAATGTAACATCGGCTCGGCGCCTGTGGCTCAACCGGCTAAGGCGCCAGCCACATACACCTAAGGTGGTGGGTTCGAATCCAGCCCAGACCCACCCAACAACAATGATGGCTGCAACCAAAAAATGGCCAGGCGTTGTGGCGGGTGCCTGTGGTCCCAGCTACTCGGGAGGCTGAGGCAGGAGAGTTGCTTGAGCCCAGGAGTTGGAGGTTGCTGTGAGCTGTGATGCCACAGCACTCTACCCAAGGGGAAAGCTTGAGGCTCTGTCTCAAAAAAAAAAAATGTAACATCATAATTACATTCCTAACTAGAATTAGTATGTCTGTTTTTGTATTTTTATGCTGTATTTTAACACTTTATATTACTTAGGTTATTTTGCTTTGGTTAAAATTGGCTCAAGGAGAAAAGTGGTCTCATTCATTTTAAGACAGTGTATAGTATCTTAAATAAAATGTGTACAGTGAATTGTCTTTAAAAAACAATTCTGCCAGAACTTGACAAGGAAATTGCCTTAGAGATTTAGCATTTTTAGCAGATTTAACGACTCATTTAAATGACTTAAATATGCACCTTCAAAGTGAAAACCAACTTATTAGTACAAAGTTTCCAACTGTAATAGCATTCCAAATGAAACTGAAATTAGGGCAAACTCAAAATAAGGCAAACAATTTTATGCATTTTGATCCATTGGCTAAACAGTACTGTGGACCATGAAAAATATGCAACCTTACTTTTCAATTTGATATAAGAATTTGAAAACAGATTTCAAGATTTCCAAGAAAACAATCAATATTTTGGTGCATTTGTGACTCCATTTTTGGTCAACATAAATATGTTACCCACCAATTTTTAAATGGAATGCCTAAAGCTGACATTCAATTTAAAGAAAAATTTGGTCATGTCTCTTTACTGGACTTTTATAGGTCATATCTTCACAGAGACAAATATCCCTCACTTCACAATCAGGCCTTATTCATGTCATTGCTTTTTGGCAGCACCTACATTTGCAAGCTACGATTTTCAAGAATGAAGCACAATAAGAGTAAAATTAGAAACAAAATGTGTGATGAGCACCTTGAGAACTCACTGAGAATTATACCTACTTCCATTGAACCAGAATTGATGTACTAGTTCTACAATGTCAAATATCCCACTAGTTTCATATTGTCCACTTTTCTTTCACTTGTTTTATAAAAATATCAAAAAAGACCTTTCATTACCTAGATATGCACATTTTCTGTATTAGTCATTGTAAACTTGGGACCTGCTGGATGGTTTAATAAGACTCTCTGAATAGGCTACTGCATAATTAGGATTATTGTGAGGACTTTTTTGCTTATCTGTGGTGGTGGGTATCGTGACAATTATGCATAGACCTCTTTTTTTTGTCTCTTCAGATTTTGTTTGAGTTTGTGTTTCTAACATGTGGCCTAAGACAACTCTTTTTCCAATGTGGTCCTGAATTAAATGATAGAAAGCAAACTGGAAGGAGAGGAAGAGAGGCATAAAGAAGAGAAGAATGGAGAGTAGAGTGGGTTTTTATTGGAAGAATTGGGTATCTGACCCTGGATCCTCTGGTATTTAGGAGCAAGAATGTTAGAAATGTCTGATTCTTCAAATAAAAGCCACTCAAAAGGAGAAACAAATTCTGAGAAATCAAACAATTACATCTAAGGGGTAAATATGAAAAGTGGGGAAGTTACCAGGAAGATTATTTGTGGAACCATCACTCTAAAGCAAACAGAACTACTGTGGCCCTGGAGCCCCATAGCACATAAAAGCTTCTTATTGACCAACAAGGATATCTCTGCCTCTGTTGAGGCCGCAGACAGCTGCTCTGGAGAAATTTCTACTCGGTCCTTCCTCTTATCAGAACGTCGCAAGATGATGACAGAATGAATGTGAACAATTCTGACAGTTTCACCCTAAAGGAAAATCCACAGAAATGGTTACTTATGTCTCCTTCCAGAAATACAACTCCCTTCAATTACAGAGTTGCATTTTATTACAATATCAGGTTAAGGACTCCATTTTAGAAAAAATGAATCTTGTCATGAACAATGAATGTTTCAAATAAAAGACATCCAACTTCAATATATACACATCAGAAACAAAAATACAAAAGCTAATGTTTAGGGTGGCCCCTGTGGCTCAAAGGAGTAGGGCACTGGCCCCATATGCTGGAGGTGTCAGGTTCAAACCCAGCCCCCGCCAAAAACTGCAAAAAAAAAAAAAAGCTAATGTTTAGATCCAAGAAGGACTTTTTGAATGATCAACTGATTACAGAAGAACCTCCACAGCTGACCATCTCTGTACACTGACCACCTTCTTAAGTTGACCTAATTTTCATAGACTGGGCTTACCCTACATGTGTCCAGTTTGTTACAGTCCCTTGGGTGGTCACCTTACAGAGGTTCTACTGTATATGATTTACAACTACGTCCAAGACACTGTGTCACACAAAGGAACATAAATCAGAGGGCTGACAATCTAAGTGTTCAATGTGCTAATGGGCTCAGCACCTGTAGCTCAGCAGCTAGGGTGCCAGCCACATATACCAGAGCTGGTAGATTTGAATTCAGCCCAGGCCTGCCAAACAACGACAACTACAACAAAAAAAATAGCCAGGCACTGTGGTGGGTGCCTGTAGTCCCAGCTATTTGTGAGGCTGAGGCAAGAGAATCGCTTAAGCCCAAGAGTTTGAGGTTGCTGTGAGCTGTGATGCCACAGCACTCTACCGAGGGTGACATAGTAAAACTCTGTCTCTGGCAGGTTAGAATCCAGCCCAGACCCACCAAACAACAATGACAACTACAGCCAAAAAATAGTTGGGAGTTGTGGCGGGTGCCTGTAGTCTCAGCTACTTGGGAGGTGGAGGCAGAATTGCTTGAGCCCAGGAGTTGGAGGTTGCTGTGACCTGTGATGCCATTGCACTCTACCCAGGGTGACAGCTTGAGGGTCTGTCTCAAAAAAAAAAGATCTGGAATCTACGGCGGCGCCTGTGACCCAAGGAGTAGGGTGTTGGCCTCATATACCAGAGGTGGGTTCAAACCTGGCCCTGGCCAAAAACTGCAAAAAAAAAAAATATCTGGAATCTATTTTAGTGGTTGATGCTCAGGGTAAATGAAAACAAATGAGCAACATTTAATGCATTTATAGAAGGAAGAGCCCATAAAGGGGTGGGGAAGGAATAAATGAAGGAACCACAGCAAAACAAATAATTCATGAGTTCAGAGATTCAAGGAGAAAGTTTAAGATAAGCACCAAGAAATTATCCATTGGATATAGCAATGAGATGGCTGGACAGGTAGAATTAAAAACTAGAGCTTAGGGGATTTGTCTTGGGAAGGTCAAGAAGTAACAATTATAGTAACTATTCTTTTAAGATGTCTGGCTATTCAAGGAAAAATATAAGAGTAGTAACTACAGGAAGATACAGGACTGAAAAGCAGTGTCTCTTTACTTTTTGAAAATGAGAGTAATTTAAGCATATTTGTATCATAAGAGAAAAAAATCCAGGTAACAGGAAAAACAACCCACAAGAGAGACAGTACATGTGATAAACAAGGTTTGTGAAGAAGTTGCAGCTTTGGATAGGAAGATGACTTCTTTCCTTGATATGGGGAAAAAAGGAGGCAAAGTGGTTAAGGTGGAGAAGTTTGCATATAGCAATCATAAGCATATGAAATTGTTGCCTGTGCTCGGCGCCTGTGGCTCAAGCGGCTAAGGTGCTAGCCATACACCTAAGGTGGCGGGTTCGAATCCCCAGCCCGGGCCCGCCAAACAACAACAATGGCTGCAACCAAAAAATAGCCGGGCGTTGTGGCGGGCGCCTGAGGTCCCAGCGACTTGGGAGGCTGAGACAGGAGACTCGCTTGAGCCCAGGAGTTGGAGGTTGCTGTGAGCAGTGAAGCCATGGCACTCTACACAGGGGGACAGCTTGAGGCTCTGTCTCAAAAAAAAAAAAAAAAGAAATTGTTGCCTGATAGCTTGGTGGGAGGGGAGTAAGTAATTCACTTTTGTTGTATTTTTTTTTTTTGAGACAGAGTCTCACTTTGTCACCCTTGGTAGAGTGTGGTGGCTTCACAGCTCATGGTAACCTCTAACACTTGGGCTCAAGCGATTCTTTTGCTTCAGCTTCCCAAGTAGCTGGGACTACAAGTGCCCCCCACAATGCCCAGCTATTTTTAGAGACAAGGTCTCACTCTGGCTCAGGCTGGTCTCAAACTTGTGAGCTCAGGCAGTCCACTGACCTTGGCCTCCCAGAGTGCTAGGATTACAGGCATGAGCCACCCATTTTTATTGTATTTTACACAATCTGGATTAATACTCTGGCTGAGATCATCAGAGTACATAAATTGTTCCTCAAGTATACGTTTTCATTATGCAAAATTCCAGGATACATACTTTTTCAGCAATTGTGCGTATTTCAGTTCCAGTATATCCAAATTTGGAGTCACTCCTATTGGAAAAAAAAATTAGAAAAAAGTGGGAACTGGGGTTTAAAACATAAGAAGGAATCAAAGCAAAATAACAAGACTAAAAGTTTTTGCAATGAAACAGAGACAAAAGAGGAGGGAAAGTGAACTGAGGATACAGTTGCACTCACACATCTATTAGAAGCAATACAGAAGTAGCTGGGTGTATAAAGTTATCATGAGTAAAAGTTAAATTCCTGGAATTACTGGTATTAAGGAGGTGGGTTTGAGAAGTCAAGTATGGTATGCTTTGAAGTTTATATTACCCAAAAGTATCAGCACCTCAAGCATTTAAGCTAGGAAGGAACTCTGAGATAGGGCCCATGGTAGGGGTAGGGGGTCATGGCAGAAATTCCATGATGACTGAGATGAAGGCATGGATCAACAGAGGGAAATGCTTTTCAATGTTTATGCTCTCTGTCAGAAAGAAAATTCATCAATGACATTTCAAGGGAGAGAGAATATAAAATATATAAAGCAAAAATATGGGGCAGCGCCTGTGGCTTAGTGGGTAGGGTGCCTGCCCTATACCGAAAGTGATGTGTTCAAACCAGGCCCCAGCCAAACTGCAACAACAACAACAACAAAAAATAGCCGGGCGTTGTGGCGGGCACCTGTAGTCCCAGTTACTTGGGAGGCTGAGGCAAGAGAATCGCCTAATTCTCGCCTAAAGAAATCCTGGAAGTTGGAGGTTGCTGTGAACAGTGTGACGCCACAGCACTCTATTGAGGGCAATAAAGTAAGACTCTGTCGAAATCAAGAAAGAAAGAAAGAAAGAAAGAAAGAAAGAAAATGGAAAATACATTGATAGCATTGATAGTCTTTTTAATTTTCTCCCTTTAGTCAACAAAATTGTACTCGTAAGAGCTTTCACAGGTACACATATAATACTGTTCCCCCCAAGTATATTTTTCACATACATATTTTGGGTTAACAATGACTTAAAAGATCTTAAGATATGAGTAAACAATTAGTCTTACCTTGTATCATCATTCAACTAAAGTGGGAAAGAGCAGAAAACATTATTATTGATCATATCGTGGTTGTATGATGTACATGGAAGCAGATTATATAAAATTAGATGTGTTCATGCAAACCACCATGAAAGAATGGAGAATTAGTTTAGATTGCAAACAGCTAAACTGTATTTCCTCATTCTTTTTAGCACCTCTGCAAAACTTAACGCAGTGAAACTTTTTCGTCCTTGAAACCCCTCTCCTCTTAAGTTCTTTGAGACACTTCAAATGCTTTGTTGATACCTCTAGTTCCCTAGAAAAAAGCCTGGAAGCAAGTGAAGGGGTTCTAGTGCTGCTCTCTGATACGCTGATGTCCTCAAGATCCTGCAATGTCTTTCTCGCCTGCCTGATTTGCAGTTTGGGTCAACACTGTGATCAATGAGAGATGTAAAGAAAAGCCACAGACTACAAGAGAAAAAGCAATGCTCCCTGGGACATGTGCTAATCGCTGGTGGCTTTCGGGAGAATAAACAACTATTCGGAAGAAATGCGGGTCCACGCAACAGTGGCATGTAAGCATGTCCGAGGATCGAAGTCAGGTATGCCTGTGGCTTCCGCAGTTCTGGGGGCTGGTGGCACCCACCCCAGGGACAAGGCTGGGACTGCTCAGCAAGGTTCAAGCCAGGTGACTGACCGACTCACCTCTCCTATACACAGACCCATCACCTCCTCCTTCTCTGTGCTCAGAGCGTGGTTAAGACAAACTAGGAAAGCATCAGACTCGAGATGAACCGCTTGCACTGCCTGCACCACCTGCACCGCCATCTTGGTCCGACCCTGTTCACGTCCGCTTTGGGCCCACTTCGGCCTGACCAACCGGGTGCTGCGGCGCAGCCTCCCCCGCGCCCCGCGTTCTCTGTCCCGCCCAGGCCTGGCCTTCCGCGCGGATTCCTCGGGGGCGGGGCTTTGATAGAGGGCGTGTCCTGGGGGGGGTTGTGACTGTTCGGGCGGGGCGGGGGCAGCGGGCAAGAGGCAGGCGCGCGGGGGCGGAGCTTGGGTCTGGGGGGCGGAGCCCGTCCAGCAGCACCTGGGAAACGCCCGCGCCGGTTGGGGCGGGCGTGGCCGTTGGGACGGAGGGCGTTGGCCGGACTCAGTTAGGGTGTCAGGCCGGGCGGCGGGGGCGACGGGGAGGCGGCGCTCTCGGGCCGCAAGCGGACGTGGTCTGTGAGCAGCGCCCGGTCGCGTGGGCAGACGCCTCCCCAGCGGCGGCGCCCATTTTGCCCGCCCGCTAAGGAGAGTAGTGCGTGGCCTACACTCTTAGGGGACAGCCCAGTCAGGCGACCATCTGCGCAAAAACGCCAGCCTCTTGAGCCAGAGGGACGCTCTTCTGAAATTCCATACTAAAGCAGTTAAGGTTTCATTTTGTTTTATTTCCAAGCCACAGCCCCTGATTCTTGCACAACTCTCCCTGGACCACTTCCGGTTGCCGGCCCGCACCTCGTAACTTCGGTTCCAGTGACCTCGGCCTGCAATGCCCCTAGTCTCGTCCCGGGCTCACGTCGCGATCCCGGCTTGAGAGGCCTGGGGTGGGGGTCCTGGAAGTTTTAACCTAGCTGTTCTCGAGGCGGATTAATTAGCCCAAGAAACATTATATTCATGTGAGTAACCTTTTGCAGAAACAGTACTACACTGTATCTGAAATGAAAGTATCCCTCTTAACTTGTCTGCTGCTACTTTCTGCAAAGGCTCTTAGGTAGCTATTTCGTTAATACAGTGAAGGGGAATGAAGGGACGTCAGTTTTTATTCAAGTTTGGACATACGTTAGCTATCCAGAACACGTTTCCTCAGGTCTCCTCATCTTGATATCAGACGTTGCTAAGTTATACACGTACGTAAAAGTAACCTTATTGTGACGCACGTCAAACGTGCCCAGGGGTAAAAGACATATCGTCCAACTCACAAGTTTGGGAATTACACGTGGATTTTAGAAGCGACTCTAACCGAAAGAAAAATATCTGCCGTGCCGCCTCCACAGCCCGTCCGTGTTTCTTCCCTTCGTTTGTCTTTTTATTCTCTGGGTAGTTTTGAAGCCGGGCAGGTATGGCAGTACTGGAAAGGGAACATTCCCAACGTGCTACTTGAAGAGTTGTTGATGCTTTGCTCTTTTCTCCCAAGTCAGTTCCAACTCTAATGCTTAAGGGTCACAAGGCTCATGTTTCCATGATTAATTTTGATAATGGTGAAAACTAAAAAATTTTTAACTGCAATTACATTGGACCCATCTAAATTTTCTCTTGTTATAATTTATATCACATACTACTACTGTTTTCACTTACTGTTTGTGCCTACTATGCCCTACCCTGATGAGTCAGGAACACCTGGTCTCACTGTTGTATTTAGTGATGGGATATTTTGAGTTAAAAAATGCCTTTTGTTTGATGTTGGTCAAACAACACATTACATTGGTCATATTCTACAATGACATTCATTAACTTTCATAACGCTCATGGCTGCGTTCTACACACAGCTCTTAAAATTTAATTGGACTTGGAAAAAACTATTAACATGTATGCAGGCTTAGTATATGCTAGATAACTCTCCTAAGCATTTATATACCAGTTCTATATAAATTGCCTCTGTTGGAATCAGGCTGTACAACGTCCTAGCAGTGTGACCTTGGGCAAGTCACCTAACTTCTCTTCTCTACCTTTATTTTCTTCATCTTAATGTGGGGATGATAATACTGCCTACAACACAGCACTTCTGCAAAGATTAAATGAGTCAATATGTGTAAACACATGCAAAACATATAGGAAGTGCTACATAAATGCTATTATGATTAATATGTTCTTTGACTCATTTTACACCTCCAGAAATTGAGGTGTTGAGACATTAACTTGTCCAAGGTCACAAAGCTACTAAGTGGCAGAATCAGTATTCATACAGAGGCCAAGTTGATTCCAGAGCCTATATTCTCGGTAATTTCACCTATTCTGATTGCATGAGTTTATTAATTGACTTCAAATAACATAAGTATATTCAACAGACCAATGCCTAAAAACTATTCAAATACCTGGAGGTTAAACCATGCTTTAAAAAAGAAAAGAACTAATTCTGTAAAGAGAAAGCAATTAATAGTGAAAGAAGCCCTCTGTGTTATATGTCATCCACTTATAACCTAATTTACAAAATGCCTAACTAAGAAACTATCTAGTCCAGTGTATTCTCTGGGCGTGGCATCAAACCATGGATACAGTCTTTTTAGTGCATGATAAATTTATGAAGTTACCTGAACATTTTCTGAGTCCATTTGTATTTACAGGTGGTGGTATATTTAAGTTGAGTTGCACAGCTTTATACTTCATGTATTGCATTGCACCTTGTACCTAAGTTTAACTTCAGATTTTAAAATCCCAGGAGTCATGAGTTTTTTAAACAAGTGTCATGTGCCAAAAAATATTCTCTACTCAGATAAATTTGGGAAATGTTAAACAACATAAAGTTTCTTTCCTGCATAACTTGCCAGAGCTTTTACTATGCTAATGTGCCTTATGACTCTCCAGGATTCCCAGACTTATTTGACCAAGGAAAATGTTTGGAGCAAATGTTGTACAAATCAAAATTTTCTATTCATACAACCTGTCATTTTTTAGGCTTTGATCTGAATCCCTCTCACTAGGCCTTTACTTTTCTCTATTGAGAATGTTGTTGGTTTATGTTTATATGGTGGCTTTTCTGTTCCTTGATTGCTACAGTTGCCTTTCTCTGGGTTTTCATAATCTCCAAATGGTAACACATACAAATCCAGAATAATGTCCTGAGTGTTGTTCCCGGGCTTATCCTGCTGATGTTTCTGAGAATGTGTTGTAGTGACTCTTAGTAACTCAGACCATCATATCCAATCTGTTTGCCCTCTATTCCACTGGAATTATTTCCTTTTAATGTCAGTATAATCAATAAAATTTTGTTTTTCATTCAACAGAAATTTATATTTCAAAATGTCGGTTGGTGCTAGGACCTACCTGTGAAGTTGAGACTGTCTTGAAACCCTTAACACTTGGTTTCCATTTAAAAAAAAAAAGAATTGGCCACACTTATGTCTTTTGTGATTGAAATCCAGGCTTCAATATCTTTTATCTTGACACTAGTGTTTACTAGGTTTTTGTTTGTGTCTGTCTTTACCAAAGCTTTTGGGGTTTGGGGAAAACAGAACAATTAATTGTATCTGCTAAATGGGGAAAAAAAGTTTTAAAAATTAAATATATAGCTAGAGACTAATGCCTAGAAAATCAATTTCTACCCGTGTGTACATGGTAAATCATAATGGCCACTGTGGACTTCTTTTGTTTCATCTCCCTTTCAACCACACATATGCACTTGTTCACAGAAACATTGTTTGACTAGTATTTGAAACTCATGGGGCCCAGAATTGTATCATTCCTGCTATTAAGCAGCACATAATGCTATACTTTGGGGAAGAAAGGACTTGTAAAGTAAGCAAATGAAATATGCAAGGAGATTTATAATTAGGGGCCAAATATGCACTTCAATTTAAACATAAATGCTACAGTAGTCATAAGAGGCACTACTTTTCTAAAGTTGTCATAGAAGAGGCAGGCATCTGACTCTGCTATAATAGCACTTAGATAGGCATAGAGGCCTGGGGAGTCATTTAAAGCAAGTGTAAAGAAAGAGCAAGGGGATAGAGCCAGGAAATGAGCCTAATATTGGGGGAAAGTTTTTTGAAATACATTGGTAGTGCCTGCTGGAATTGGTGAGAGATAGGATGTGGCAGCTGAAGAAGAGGAAGAAATGCAAGAGAATTCACTAAGTGTTGAGTCTGCAGGATCAGGAGCAGTGGCATTGCCATTGAGAAAAACTGGGATTTAATTAAAGAGAAAGGGTTTTGGAGGGTAAATCCTCCAATGCCATATCTGTTCTATCAAAGGTAGAAATATAGTACAACTGTGTCATGATGCTATGAGTGAGGTCCAAATGATTCATTCATGCAAATTGCAAGTCATCGTGAGGTCCTGAAATGAAATCTGGGGCTGGGGAGAGGATCATTGCAGGGAGAGGTATGATCCCTTTATCCCTCTCAATTTTCGCAGGGGTTTTCTGGTCTTCTGTCTTGGGAAATCAAAATTAAACCTATGCCTCTGAAAAAATGGGCTCCTGTAACATCCTACAGCATTATTAAAATGAAACAAGGAGCTAGCTAGATAATTAATGTTTGCTCTCAGCTCTAAATCACCATGATTCCCAAAGTCTCTTGTAGCTCACAAATTACATGAAGCTACCTTAAATACTTTTCCTAATACTTTTCCTATGAAAATCCCCTTCTGGAAATGCCCAGCTCCTATACATAACCTTTCTTAATAAACTGATAAATAGGTCTTTGCCTTTAAAATAAACTTTTAATTTCAACGTAGCCATGCTAAAATGAGTGTGTATCCCTAGGCATGTTTTTGGGCATATGTTATTGCTATCTGTGTTTTCCAAGACCCTACTTTGTGAATGCAAAGAGTGAGACCACTTTCCAGCTTCCTATAATGTTTAGTCCTATATTTCCATAGAACTCCTCACCTAGCCAAATTCTTGAGTGCTTTGCAGTCGAAAGTTAGCAACCTGAGGCTCTGAGTATCACTTCATTTATCTTACAGAAAGCTTCAGATGTCCTTGGTTCTATTTAGGCTGTACAAATAGACATATAAGAGGTTTGGTTCTGGTTGCTGGCTGCTATTACCAGGTCACCCTTGCTCACTGGTGAGTTCATTCAAACCCCAAAGTCACACCTGTGTCCTGTGCACGGGTGCTGCAGGCTTAGGTGGAGAAAAGCAGGGCTAGACTTGGAAACCAAAGCCCAGAATGGCAGGAGAGGATGTGGGGGCTCCACCCGATCACCTCTGGGTTCACCAAGAGGGTATCTACCGCGACGAATACCAGCGCACATGGGTGGCCGTCGTGGAAGAGGTAACTTTATATTTTGCACATTTGATTTTGCTTTCAAGCAATTTGTTTCTATTTAGTTTCAGTATTCTGAAGTCTTTGGTTTTATTTTTGATCATTCCTTTCTATTAGGAGACAAGTTTCCTAAAGGCAAGAGTCCAGCAAATTCAGGTTCCCCTAGGTGACGCAGCTAGGCCAAGTCACCTTCTCACCTCCCAGCTACCTCTCATGTGGCAACTCTACCCGGAGGAGCGCTACATGGATAACAACTCTCGCTTGTGGCAAATACAGCATCATTTAATGGTACACATGTTGCTTAATCATTTTGCATTGTACTGGGACTCTTGTAACACAGTACTCTATAAATTTTTATTTTTTCTGACAGGTCAGGGGAGTACAGGAGCTGTTGCTTAAGCTTTTGCCTGATGATTAAGCTGGTATGTATTTCTGTTTCTCCCCCATCCCACCCCACTTTGTTTTCACTCTATTCATCTGTGGTGATTTGAATGATTTTTTTTTCCAGGTGCTGGGATTCTAGGAAGATATGCTCCTTTGTTCTGTTCGATATATGGCAGTCACTTCATCCACTACTGCAGTGCCCACCCTTGGGCCTTGGGGGAGGGAGTGGGTTGAAAAACTCCAGAACACGGAAGTTTAGGAAGGGTCATGAAGAATACTGCAAATGAAACTGCAGAGAGGGAGAAAGCAGGCAGAAAGCGAGTCAACAAAAGCACTTAGTCAGGATACATAACTTGAGATTGACTCCTTTAGAAATTGCCATAAAACCTTTAAAGGACATCATCGGCTGGAAGTGGGATCTCATGACTCCTACAAAATCAGCACCTGCTGCAGAACAGATGCCCTCATCACCAAGAACTTGGTACTGATGTAGAGAGAAGAGAGCAGCTCCTAACAGCATCAACATCTATTTGTTGCTTATTTGCCCTGCAGCAATTCACCCGCCTTTCCTTCTTCCATCCTGTAAATATCCTAATTTTTGCTTCAGTGTTTCCCATCCCAGTACTGATCTAATTTAGATCTACTGAGAAGTTAGGGGGCTCTGGAAAAAAAAAAGATTTACATTGATTAAATTATCTACAAAGGCTCCTGGGCCTTTTTTCTTTCTGAAATTGTCTTCAAATTATTAAAAGTAGATCAAAATTGGGGACACCTAAATTCATTCTTTGGTTACAGATATTTTAAGTAAGCTGGTTTCTATAAGAACTTTAAAAAATAGCACTTAACTGATACCTTTCTCAGGAAATAATAGCATCAAATATTTCTGATTCCTAGGAAAGCTTTTACTACTTATATCTAATTTCCTAAGTTAAAGTAGTCATAACAATATATTAAATGTAAGGTTTTACTTTTTTTTAAGTCTTGGGAATAATACCTACTATGTATTGAGTCCTTCCTTCCAGGCACTATTGTGTGCATTTTATATATTTTATCACATTTAATCCTTTGTCAGTGCTTTGAGGTAGGTATGATTTCCATTTAATACATGAGTAATTAAAAAAAGGCTCAAAGAGTTTAATCATTTACCAAGAGTTTCTTCTGGGAATAATAGATATGGGCTGTGGTGTAGCCTCTTCTTGCCTAACATTAGTTTACAATATATTCAAGATGAGTTGATTGAATTCAGGGTTTCTTCATATTAACCTATTTATATCTTCCAAACCTAATTAAATAGGTACTATAAAAATATGGTTGATTTTTCATCAGTATGATATTATGAATGGGAAGAGTATTTTTTATAGTAATTTTCCAGCAATTGTATGGGCATATGACTTGTCTCAGAAGAAAATTCCATGTAGAGGTGTTTTAAAACCTTTATGGAGATAAAGCAAAATAAAAATCATTTTTCTTTTTTTAGTTTTCTGGATATGCCACAGAAGGATCCGTGCCAGAAACAAGCCTGTGAAATACAGAAATGTTTACAAGGTAGTATGTAAAGTGCTTTTAAAATATTTTTCCACTGTGAACTAACTATATGAGATCAATTGTTCTTTTATCAGCAAGCTGTATAAACTCTTTTCTCACAATGTAACATTTCTGTAATTATCCTGAAGATTTCTTCATTTTCTTATCAAAGATGCATTAAAAAAGTGATATGGTCAAACCAGGAGTTTTCAATCATGTTTGTGCATTAGAATCACCTGGAGAGCTTTAAGAACTTGCCTAGACAATTAAGTCAGACTTATCGAGGCTAGAGTATGACCAGAAAACAGTCTAGAAAGTTAACCAGGTGATTTTAATGCACAGCCAAAATTAAGAATTACTGAGCTGGCTCTTCGACTGTGGCACGGTGAGTAGGGCGCCGGCCACATAAACCAAGGCTGGTGGGTTTGAGCCCAGCCTGGGCCCGCTAAAAAACAATGACAATTGCAACCAAAAAATAGCTGGGCGTTGTGGCAGGTGCCTGTAGTCCCAGCTACTCAGGAGGCTGAGGCAAGAGAATTGCTTAAGCCCAAGGGTTTGAGGTTGTTGTGAGCTGTGACACCACAGTGCTATACTGAGGGTGACGTAATAAAACTCTGTCTCTGTCTCAAAAAAAAAAAAAAAAAGAATTACTGAGCTGAGCAAAGCTCTTTTTTAAAAAGGCTAGTTTTAAATAGGTTGGTATCACTTCACTGCAGTTGACAACTGTGTGTTTTTAAAAGCATTCTGGTAAGACTGTAGGAGGCAGGGTAGGAAGCAGGGAGACCAATTAGAAGTTGGCTTCCTAGATGGGGATATAAGATATTTATACAAATAATTACAAGGCATGATACAATTTAATATACTGCTATGAAGAAGCCTGTGTTTGGATAAAAAGTAAACTGCTGCAAGAAAGATTAAAACAGAAACTCAAGTGACCCAAATTATTTCTCTCTTGCACAACTGGCTGGTCTAGGCCAGTGGGACAGTTCTGCTCCATGTTAGGTCATGAATATATCCACATTCTTGTTCATGGGAAGGGGAAGGAGATGAGGTCCAGGCTTCTTTTTAAGCAAGTGAAGTGGAATTCATCCATTTTACTTTCTTTCACATCCTTTTGGCAAGAGCTTAGTTGTAAGTCACACCTAATTGCAAGAAACAATAGGAAATATTTTGTTAGGTAGCCTTGTGCTCAGAAACAAGAGAGGAGTGGATTTTGGAAAGGCAACTAGAACTCAGTCTCCCACAAGGCCAAAGTAAAGTCCTATGCAGGTTCATAGGTAAAAGCTAACACCCCTGCTTGAGGTATACTTGGACATATTTTTGGAGGTAGAAGCACATGAACTAGGCCTTGAAGAATGGGTAGGGTTTTGACAGGCAATCATTGTGAGGAGGTGGTTTTCTCATGTAAGAAACCAAGGTGAGGAAGCAGAAGTTTTGAAGAAAGGAGTCTTATTTTGGTGGAATTTCAGGTACCATGTTGGAACTTCATTCTGGAGGTAATGGGAAGCCATTGACTATTCCATGAGTAAGAGAACAACATGATGATTACTGTGCTTTAGGTAAATTTGCTTTGTGTGTGTAACATGAAGAATAAGGAAGAGATTGGAGACAGACAAACCACATTGGGAGAACAAGTTAGTAATGTCCTACAGCCACGAGGCCAGTAATGTAGGGTTTAAGAGGAATGGTTGACAAATCATCATAAATCTCAATGTTTTGGAGGTCATGGACCCCTTTGAGAATTTCATGAACACTATAGATTCTCTCCAGATACAGTAAGTCTAGAGAGGTGAGGAAGCTGCAGAAGTAAAGTATGACACATTAGCAGAGGTTGGTTCATGAGGTTTAAGGAAAGAAGCTGTCTCCAAAACATAAAAGTACAAGGTAAAGGAGCAAGTGCTGATGTAGGAGAGATAGTAAGTGATCCTGATGACCTAGCTGAGATAGTTGATGAAGGCACTAAACAGATTTTCAATGTAGATTAAGCAGCCTTCTATCAGAAGAAGATGCCATTTAGGACTTCATAGTTAGACATAAATCAGTGCTAGGTTTCAAAGGACAGACTGACTGTTGTTACGGACTAATGTAGCTGGTGACTTATAGTTGAAGCTAATGCTCATTGACCATCATTAAGAATTATGTTAAATCTACACTGCCTATGCTCTATGAATGGGACAATAAAACCTGGATAATAGCACATCTATTTATGGCATGGTTTACTGTTTGTTTTTTTTTTTTCTTTTTTTGAGACAGAGTCTTTCTGTCTTGCCAGGCTAGAGTGCTGTGGCACAATCTAGCTGACTGCAACTTTCAACTTCTGAGCTCAAGAAGTCCTGCATCAGCCACTTGAGTAGCTAGGACTACAGGTGACTGCCACCATGCCCAGCTGTTTATTTCTATCTTTATTAGAGATGGGGGTCTCGGTCTTCTCAGGCTGGTCTCCAAATCCTGACCTCAAATGATCCTCCTCCCTCAGATTCCCAGAGGGGTAAATTTTAGACATGAGTCACCATACGCAGCATGTTTACTAAATATTATAAGCCCACTATTGAGACCTGAACAAAAATAAAGATCCCTTCCAAAACACTGCTGCTCATTGACAACGAAGCTGGTAACTCAAGAGTTTTGATGGAGATGTAAAAAGGAGATTAATGTTGTTTTCGTGCCTGCTAGCATAATGCTCATTCTGCAGCCAATAGATCAAGGAGTAATTGTGACTTACAAGTCTTTTTATTTTAAGAAATCCATTTCAGGGTGGTGCCTGTGGCTCAGTGAGTAGGGTGTCAGCCCCATATACTGAGGGTGGTGAGTTCAAACCCAACCCTGGCAAAACTGCAACAACAAAAAATAATAAAAAAATAAAGTTTTTTTAAAAAAAAGAAATCCATTTCATAGATCTACAGCTGCCATAGATGGTGATTCCTCTAATGGATCTGGGCAAAATAAATTGAAAACTTTCTGGAAAGGATTCACCATTCTAGATACCATTAAGAATATTCATAATTCATGGGAGGAGGTGCAGACATCAACACTAATAGGAGTTTGGAAGATGTTGATTCTAATTGAATGGATGACTTTGAGGGGTTCAAGACTTCAGGGGAGGAAGTAATTACAAGTTTGATGGAAACAGCAAGTGAACTAAAATTAGAAGTGGAGCCTGGAGATGTGACTGAATTGCTGCAATCTCATGACAAAACCTGAATAGAGCAGCAGTTGCCAAGTTTGAGCAAATGTTAGAAAATTTCATTTTTTTAATCAGTGAATGATTGTTGTCAAAAGACCAAATAGAAAAAGGTACAAGGTTATCTGAATTTGAAAACTGGGGTTTTTTTGTTGTTGTTGTTGAGACAGAGTCCCACTCTATGCCCCCGAGCAGAGTGCAGTGGCTTGGTACCTCACTGCAACCTCCGACTCCTGGCTTGTGGGCATCCCGCTGCCTCAGCCTCTGGAAGCCGCTGGGATTACAGGCGCTCACTATGGCACCCGGCTGGGTTTTTCCATTTTTTTCATGAGTCGGTGTCTCACTCTCGCTCAGGCAAGTATGGAACTCCTGAGCTCAAGCAGTTCTCCATCCTCAGCCTCCCATAGTGCTGGGTCATAGGCATGAGCCACCACGCCCGACAAAAATTGGCTTTTTAAATGATTTTTCTTCATTATTAAAGTAATAGATAGAGGCTCGTCTCCTGTGGCTCAGTGGTTAAGGTACCAGCCACATACAGCAGAGCTGGCAGGTTTGGACCTGGCTGGGTCCTGCTAAAACAACAATGACAACTATAACAGCAATAACAACAAAAAAAATAGCCAGGCACTGTGGTGGGTGCCTGTAGTCCCAGCTACTTAGGAGGCTGAGGTAAGAGAATCACTTAACCCCAAGAGTTTTAGGTTGCTGTGAGCTGTGACGCCACTGCACTCTACCCAGGGTGACATAGTGAGACTCTATCAAAAAAAAAAGGTAATAGAAATGTTCAGGAAAATATAAAAAGGTGCAAAGGAAATATGTTCAAAGCTCCCCCAAAGACCTGCCACCTAAGAAAATCTGTATTTCCCTGAACTTTTAATTTTTATTCTTGGACTTTTAATTTTTGTTGTGTTTTATAAAATCTTTTAGACGAATCTAAAATGTTGTTACATAATTCCATTTTAAACATACTTTTCTTCCCTTCCTCCAACTTTAAGGAAAGGGAAAATTTTTTTTTTTTGCATTTAACTTTTTCTCCCGAATTCTTAATGTTATTCGAAATAGCAATCCATGGCTAAGAAAGAATTAGAATCAAGGCTCGGTGCCTGTGGCTTAAGTGGCTAAGGCACCAGCCACATACACCTGAGCTGGCAGGTTCAAATACAGCCTGGGCCTGCCAAACAACAATGATGGCTGCAACCAAAAAATAGCCGGGCATTGTGGTAGGCACCTGTAATCCCAGCTACATGGGAGGTGGAGGCAGGAGACTCGCTTGAGCTCAGGATTTGGAGGTTGCTGTGAGCTGTGATGCCATGGCACTCTACCCAGGGTGATAGCTTGAG